TATATATATGTATATGTATATGTATATGTATATGTATATGTATATGTATATGTATATGTATATGTATATGTATATGTATATGTATACGTATACGTATATGAATATGAATATGAATATGAATATGTATATGGATATGATGTGAATATGAATATGTATATGTATATGTATATGTATATGTATATGTATATGTATATATATGTATATGTATATATATGTATATGTATATGTTTATGTATATGTATATGTCTATGTATACATCTATATATATATATATGTGTGTGTGTGAGTGTGTGTATGTTTATTCGCAAGATCAAACGTCAGTGAATCGCAAGGTTAAGCGTCAGACTTAAGACGGGTCACACGCGTCAGCGTCAAGTATAGCGGTCGCACGCGTAAGCGTCAAGTATAGCGATTGCACGCGTATATGTCAGACTTAGTGGTCGCAATTGTAAGTCGCAATTTTAAAACGCGTCAGACTTTTATGCGTCAGTCTCTCAGTAGTAGTGATGGCACGACCAAAAGTCAGACCTAGTGGTCGCAGTCTTAACAAACCTCCATATTTATATATTCATGTATACCTGAATTTATATTTTTAGACTGTAAAGGAAGTCGCCACCGGAGTTTTTATTTATTATACTAATAAAAAAATCTTTATCTTTTAGCCACTTATTTATATTTTTGTTTTCGGTTTGTTTTTGTTTGTTTTTTGTTAAAAAAACCCCCCCATTTTATGCGTTTATGATTGTAAAGTATTTATTTTTTATTTTTTACACACGTAAATACTTACTGATAGCTATTATTTACATAAAAAACACTATTTCTATAAAACTAAAGGTTATCGCTATTTATTCGCTACGGGTCTAAATAGTAAATACACCGATCTTTTCGTTTCTCTAATCATTAAAAAAACCCGTATTTGTACACTCTAATAATTATATTTAGAGGGTAATCGTAAATCGGCTATTATATGCAATGATTGAATATAGACCGCCAGACTCGCCAGTTGACAATTACTGACTACACAAGATAACTTTGAGCACAACGCGTGACTATGCGACGACTTAGGGGAAACGATTTGAAATCCATACAGCTTGCTAAGAACAAGGTATCGGGGAGCCTCGATTGTACCCGATTTCTTATCTTGCACACGTATACGCACCTCACCTTATGAAAAACCCTTATCAGGACCTTGGCTGTCTGTGGTTTTTGTTCGAGGACAATATTGCCTCTAGTTGGTGAGAGTTGAATGAAATATCTGATGCTACCTTTGCACGTGGTTACGTAGTGTTCTGGTGCGTATATTGCTGCCTTTAGTTGTATCCACTTACTCTCTGCCTTGCGATGCGACGCCAATACGAGGTTCGTCTGCGATTCCTGGCATATACCAAAACACTGTAGTTGTCCTCCGGTTGTTTGATCGTATAACGATCGCTGGCGTTTGACGTCTTGTGTTTTGATACTGTTAAGGTGTCGGTATTTAGACTGATTGTAGTGCACGCTGTTTTATTGACACCCCAGTTTGTTGTTATGTGTTTCAGGAGCTGTTACAAAAATATGGTCGAGACGATGCATGGTTCGAGTCTGTTAACGAGTGTGATATTCGTCCTGCGCTGATCATTGGGGATTCAGAAGTGAGAGGGGAGGTTCTCAGAATTATAACCGAGTACTTGAGGGCAAAGTAAGTGCTAGTTGCATCACATGTAAAAAAATTTGTTTGTGACGTTCTGTGCATAGTCAGCTATCATCAAGTTTTATGTATATATACAAATCGAATTTGTGCACCTGGGATTTTATGTTCTGTATATTTCAAGCATGTCCATGCTATATATCAAAGGTGGATAATGCTCCAGAACCATCCATTTCCAGGGAATTGCGCAGAGGAATACGGCCACACTTATGAGTTGTGTTCAACAATGAACATGTATTTACAAATATATATATATATATGTATATATATGAATTTGTATAATTGTAAACGACAACATAAGCGTG